AAATACCTTCACTCAAGCTACGTATTACATGAGATTTAGAAATCTATCTACCTGTCCACAAAAGGGCAAGCTTTCCACTAAAAGACCATCTTTCACTAACACCTGTGCTAGTAACCAAGTAGCTGCAATGTGATGAAGTAAACACAGGGTTTTTTACAAGTAGTTTTAAGAGGTGAGGTTTTAGCTAAAGATGCAGTGTGGTCAAGTCATAGAACTATTAAATCAGTGTTCTGAGCCACCCCTCCCAGGGCCTGGCTAACTTTGTTTGGATGGACAACATTATATCTGAGCATTAACACATCTCCCCCATTAAGATTCCACAGCTGGGCCTCCCTGGTGGCGCAGTGGGTTGAGTGCAGGGCGGTGAAGCTGTCCGCAGTCTTTGCAGTATGGGTTCGATTCCCGGGAGGCCAGGGAGAGTCCCACGTGTCAGACCTCTCCTGTCACGTCCGCTGCTCCCCTCAGCAGTGTATTTCGGTCGCCTACTGTTCTGCAACCTGCTCTGTCTCTGGTGAATTCTCTTACCCTCCTGCACCTCCGGCCTGTACCCCAGCTCTTGTATAAAAATAAATAAATCTTTAAAAAAACAAAAACGAAATAAAAAAAATAGATTCCACAGTAATGTTATAGGGTGTCACCACGAAAGGATGAGTGTTGCTGTGGTTGTGGGAAAGGGAGTCATTTTTTCCACCCCCACATCTAGCTGCCAATATCTCAGCACCCTTGGACGACAACTCCCATGAACCAGACTTCCAGAATGGGGGGCAGCTGGAAAGGAGGAAGGAGGGAGGGAGATATGTATTTTATTTATTTATTTTTTATTTTTTTTTTTATAGAGGCATATTTTTATTTATTTATTTGTTTGTTTGTTTGTTTTGTTCATACATGCACTGGGTACAGTCAGAAGCGTGGGAGGGTGAGAGAATTCACCAGAGCCAGAGCGGGGAGCAGAGCAGGCAGAAGGACCCAAGTACACTGCTGAGGGGAGCAGCGGGCGGCAGGAGAGGTCTGCGCACCATGTGGGACCCTCCTCCTGTGGCCGGGGAGCAGCCGGGGATCGAACCGGCGTCGTAGAGGCTGCGGGCAGCTTCGCAACCCAGCGCTCAACCGCTGCGCCACCGGGGAGGCCCGGGAGATATGTATTTTAGTGGAAAAGAAAGACAGGTGTGGCGGCTGCTCTGGTCTTTGCTCTTGGCTGCTGTAGCACTTATGGGCAGGAGGGCCCTTCAGAGACCATGGCATGGGACATGGTAAATTTCAGGTCTCTCCTACTCTCTGAGTCTACCAGGCCCTGCCCGCCCCATTGCTTGTTTTTCCCTACCAAGAGGTGTCTTGGACTCCTGGCAAGCTTTGGGGCCTCAGTTGCCCCTCCCTGGGTACAGTCTCTTTGGCTGGGCATATGCCCGTGAGGAGACAGGTGATTTCAGAGTCTGAGAGGGAGTGTGTTATTTGAAATTCTTCTCTTTCCTACTCCTCTTCTATGTCCTTTGAACCTCACTCTGATTAAAAATCTCTGAGCACACTGTGACTCTGCTCTCTTTACTTTCATGCATAGGGGTGGCAGAACCCTTAAAATGGGCCCCTTAACAGTTTGGGGTCCCTGGGCACCCCTCTGTTTCACCTGACATTAGTAAGACTGCTAGCTGCTTCCCCTACCAGCCAGGTTCTCCCTATTGCCTAATTAGTCATAAACTTTGATTATTAACTGAATTGACTGCCAACCACAATAAAATTCTCCAGGTCCCAACCTCCCCTGTGGCTAGCCATGGCCCCGTCACTTCATTCTAGTCAATTAATGCAAACAGGTGTGTGGTGCTGGACTTCTGGAGGTTATTGGGTGTCAACTCAGCCATGTGAGCACCTATAACGGTGTTTCTGCTTTTAGTCCTCCTTCAGGCCTTTGACTTGGACAAATAATTGGCACTGAGCAGTCATCTCGGATTACAAGGCAACCGTGAAGATGCAAATACATAGTAGGATGACGCAGTGAAATGCAGGACACTGGGTCCCTTATGACACTATGGGGATGCCCGAAAACCCTCCAGACTATATTTCAAAAACAAGTGACTATATACCTTGTTTTGGTTACCATTGTTTTATTTTATTTTTCAATTATGTGCAGTCAAACCTAAGCTGATTACGGATTATATGTCAACATGAGAAGCTATCTGCTATATGCATCTCACTAGCAATAAGCAGGAAGAGATTTTTAAAGTAGGTGAACAGGATAATAAAACATTTTAATAAGTCACTCTTTTTACTGAACTTTTTATGATGACTAAATTTTTCCACAAAAATCAGCCCTCCCTCTATACATACTCTTTTCTCTAGAGATCCAAAGTCAACTTCACACAAATCATTCATGAATTCTGCCCTCATATGACAGTGACCAAAATTCAACTCTTTGGAGTCAAAGAAGCGGCCCAACACATCTAAAATGATTTTCAAGTCACTCACACTGGACAATGAATGTGGGGTCATCAAGGCTTGTGCTGGAATGATAGGATCCCAGGCAAATGTTCCCCCAAAGACAAATGTTAAGGAGCTACCCAAACTCATGCACTAGTTTTACAACAGGTAACACTGTCAGCACCATACACGCAGTCCTTTAAAATACTGCCCAATGTGTAAGAGCAACTCCTGCCCCAGTGCACAGCACCCGAAGGCTTCTGAAGACCTGACACCCACTTAAGGAAAAAGAAAGGACCAGGGCTTTATCTTCTGGGTTACAGAATGACATTCAGGTGTGGAGCCATCGCCTGCAAAGAGCAGGACCTTGGCACAGGTGAGCTTCTCTTTCACAAGAGCCTGGCCTTTCAAACATAAATCTCATAAAAGGTAAAACCTTGTATTTACAGCACGAAATTACCCAAATTTAAAACCTTATAGAGGAAACTATTAACTTTTATAATTCCATTATCCCAGTCTAGCTTTTAAAATGAGCTCAATTATGAAAGGTCAGAGCACTTGCCTAGTTCTCCCAGTATAAGGATATAAGAAAAAAGTAAGTTCAGTTCCTATATGACATTTTTGCCAACACATCTGTTTATTTTTTTTTTAATTAATTCCTCCACACTGTGTTGGTTAATTTCATTTTATTTTCTTTAAATTTATTTATTTAGTCAAGCACTGGGTACAGTCAGAAGCGTGGGAGGGTGAGAGAGGATTCACCAGAGCCAGAGCAGGGAACAAAACAGGCAGACTGACGAAATACACTGCTGAAAGGAGCAGCGGGAGCGGCAGGAGAGGTCTGTGTGTCATGTGGGACCCTCACTGGCGGCTGGGGATGGAACCAGTGCTGCAGAGGCTGCGGGCAGCTTCACAGCCCAGTGCTCAACTGCTGTACCATGAGGGGAGGCCCCACATCTGATTACTCTTACCCCATCATCCAAAGCAACCTCTAGGTAGAATTTACTTTGAAAAGGAGTCACCAGTAGTTTTAATTTATTTAATACATTTAAAGAACAGAATTTTGGAGAAGGGACAGAATAAGTACATGCTGAGAAGGGAAAGAGATTATTTTACCTAACTTAAATCCCTCATGTGCATTAGAATCACTTGATGACATTTTGGTCAATGAAAGACCACATATACCATGGTGGTCCCAAAAGCCTCCACCCTAAGCCCAGGGGTGCAGTAGCCAGGGGTGCAGTAGAGCATAATTTCACTCTGTGATGTTCCCATGACTACGAAATCACCTGGGGACGCATTTCTCAGAACATGTCCCCACCGTTAAATATCTTATGCCCCACAATCTTACAAGGATGAATTTTTCTACTACTAAGGGGAAAGAGGGTGCAGGAAGAAGAGATGAGGGTAATAGAGGCTATTTTAAATAAATTGTAAAATTACATAGATAAATATCATATATACTTTAAAAATGTCTGGATGGACATGCCAAGTATAATATCTAAACTCTCTGAAGGAAACAGTATGAGTTATCTTTCTCTGCTTTCTGTTTATCTACACTTACTAATTTTATAGACAAAAATATTACTTATATAATCATTAAGCTTATTTTGTAAAGTAAGCAGATTCATAATAGCATTGACAAAAAAATACACTAGATCTGGAACAGCTCAGAACCAAAGTCTGAAGGATTTCTGGGCTCAACACTGAAGGACGCAGAGAGGGAATTTCTCGGAGACCACACGCCCTCCAAGCCCTCACGCCCCCTCCCTGGAGAGGACACTCAAAGGGATTTTAAGCATATGCCAGTTAGCAATTCGTATCCTACCACTTAGTTTAGGCAAAACAGGGCACAAATTACCACACAAAAGCTACATATTCTCAGCTCCTGCTGATTTAGCCAACGAAAGAGACTCAAGTTGCCACCAACTCACCATTTAATTATGACTAACACTTGCTTTACAATCCAGTTTATGGACACGGGATGTTTAAAAAACAGTTACTTCTCAGTTCCCTGCTCTTAAACACTAGGTAGTTAAAGCAATTAACTGATTAATACTACCACTAGGTGATGAGGAAGGCCGCAACACCGCCCGCCGGGTCGGGTCGTGCTCTCCAAGTTGACACTGTCACCTGAACTGACTTCACAGCTTAAATGTGCCCCTTCTTAAAACCTTCACTGGTGGGTACCTCAAGTAGGAGTGTTTAGGTAAAAATTCAAACAGGTAATATAGGTTTGTTTTACCTCTTGTTCCTCTTTACCAAAGAGGAAAACCCTTTTTTGACATTACACACTTTCCCCAGCTGGAAAACTAAAGTTATGTATTTTTTTGCACAATATATCAGAATTATACGATGTGAGCCTTGCTGGTGAATGTGAGCTCAGTGTTATCCCCCAGTCCTTAGGAGCCTCATTTCTCTCTTCTTAATTCAACTTTTTCTGGCACTCACTCCACCCCTACATCTCAACTCAAAAATGGAATGGTTTCAAGCCAGGAGCTTCCTGTCCACTAGGAATTCACTTTCACCCAAGTTCCAGACTGAGTTTGAAAGTACTCTTAACCCCTCCAGCTCCACCTCTTCATACTCACTGTTGCTGGACTTAAGGTCACGGTGGATGATGGGGACAATTGCCTCATCATGTAAGTAGTTCATCCCTCTGGCAATCTGCACGGCCCAGTTCACCAGGATGTCCGGGGGGATCCTTTTCCCAGATAACACTCTATTCAAAGGCCCTCCACGAGCAAACTCCATGACCAAGCAGAGGTTGGGTTCCTTTAGACACACTCCCCTTAGGGCAATGATGTTCGGGTGCTTCAGCATAGCAAAGAGCTTGGCCTCCTGACGAACATTCTCTATGGTCTGGCTGATGTCCTCATCAGGGTCATGGCGAGCTGCTTTCACGGCAACTTCATCCCCTATCCAGAAAGCGCGATAGACCTTTCCAAAGCCCCCAATGCCAATGATCTCTTCCAGTGTTAGTTCTGCAAAATCAATCTCTAACACTGAGAAAGAAAAGAGAACAAAAAAGCAAGTTAAAAGCATTCTGAAAATACCATTTCATCACCCATAAACCTGGATGGGTAAATCTGAGAGTTGTCTATTCACTTGCCTTTTCTGTCTCCCCCATTACAAGGTGCATCCTAAAGGGCAGGAAATGTGATGAACTTATTTTCTGTTGCGATATCCTTAGTGACTATAGTATGCACTCAATAAATATTCATGAAATAATTTCTACTTGGAACATCATGCAGAGTTTGTATCAAGACCAACCATTCTAACTAAAGAGAACACTGGGAAGATAATTTTTATGAGATTTACTCAGGTTTCACTGTGTGCTAAGTGCTGAGAAGCCAACCCAGTGCCAAACAGACACACAACAACCAACCAGAGTGTGAAAAGAGCCTTTGTAGCAGTATGAAAGAGGATTTGGAAAATCACTAACTCCCACCATGAGATGTAGGGATTAGGAGGGTGAATGGGGAGAGAATTCTCTGGGAAGGTGACATTTGAAATGGGCCTTAAAGAACGAGTAGGAGGGAGCTCATCAGGCAGTGAGGATCTGGATGGAGATGAACAATCCAGGCAGAGAGAAGAACATGGGGCATGAGAGCTTTATGGGTATAGTAGGGATTTCAGGGACTAATGCAGCTGGGTTACAAGTGTTTGGACAGGAGATGAGGCTCAAAGCCTTGTAGGGGGCAGTCAGGTCATGAAGCTAAGGCATTCTGAGGACTTGAACTTCCTACTGTGACAGGAGTCATGTATCTTTAAGAAGGGAGCATTGTTAGATCCGTAACTCTCTGGCATACAACCTGGAGGACAGGTTCCTGCAGCAAAAGGAAGCTCTAAGACCACTACAGTGGCCAAACATGTGAACAGGAGGGTCTGAACCTTAGCAGCAGTGAAGACAAGGAGTACAGAATGAACTGGGAGAGTTTCAAAACTTGGTTTTGAAATAGTGTCCTTGTGACTAAGACATGCAGAAAAGGTCTTACTCCAAGAGGCATCTGGGCCACAGCTACATCCCCAATGTGCCTGTATCACGCCCAACCACTCATTCTCTTTCCAAAATCCATTGCTGGAACCTAAGGTACTTGACTATATCCTTAGCTCAGTTTAGGATAACTTCCATGGATAGATATAACAGCTACCAGTGACTGTAAATGTTGGACTAGATGTGGTACTCCTATGTGAGCAAAGTGCTATTTTATGCTTCTCTTATGAAAGCCCTGTTCTCTATGCAATTTGTCTTTACTTGACTGATTCATGCTCATCCCTCAGGTCTTGGCGTAAACATCAACTTCCTAGAGAAACTTTTCCTAACCCCTGAATAAATGAGGTCAGACCCCATCAAATACTTCCAGAGCAGTCTCTATTTGGCAAGACTCATCAAGATCCTGAGTCCTATCCGATTGCAAGATCCACAAGGGTGGATTCTGCCTGCCTTATTCAGCACAGTGCTCATTATGTCCAGCAAAAAGACAACTGAAATATAATGGGGTGGAGTGGGATGGTGTGGAGGGTAATCTACCTCAGGAAGAAACAAACCAAACTCAGCTCTGAACTTCTGGCAATACCAAAAGAGGAACTGCACACTGGTGGGTGTTCTCTTCCTTACTCAGCCAGTTGGATGCGCCCATTTTCCAGATGTGGGTGGTGCTCAAAATTCTGCTCTTGCTTCATAATAGTGCTTGAATTTCATCTGGAGTTAATACTCATTTCTGTTTTGTAATGCAACTCAGTTTGCATACAGGAAACTCTATAGCCCAACCTGATGCCAAAAGTTCCAACTGTTCAAGCTTATCACTTTGTCTATCACTCTTCCTGAAGAGTAAAAGGTGTGGCAGATCCTACAGACTAGTTATAAGAATCCACTCTAAGATCCTTTTAGCACGTCTTTCAGTACTATAGAGGCCAAGCAACTAAAAACTGCATTTCTCAAGACACCCTGACAGCTAGAGTTCTGGGTGCAGATTAGATTCTGACAGTAAGAAGCACAAAACACAGAAGGCAGAAGTGAAATGGAGACATCTTCTAGTTGTTTCTTCTGGCAAGCATGGCTATGGAGAATTGGGCTTTTTTACAATAGCACGTTGGTGTCCAGTTATCAGTTCTGTGCATGTGGAGAGGAATGTTTCATGGCAAAGTGGCTACCTAATCTCTGAACTGCAGCTACAGAGATTGAAATCAACAACTTCAAAAGGAATCCCTGATTCTGTACCTTACCAATTAGAGGCAGCCAGTGCCTGGCGGGCCAGGTCTGCAAAGTTCTGGGAGTTGTTCCCATAGGCCCAGCTAAGAGCCCGTTCTCCCTGCCCTTCCAGCAATTCTGTAAGCACCAGACATCCTGTGCTAAATCACCTTCTGCTTAAAATAGCTTGAGTGTTTCTAGGTCCTAAAATGAACAGATTGATTACCAATTCTTGCCTTTTCTCATCTGTATGAATTTTGAAAAATAAGCCTATGTTAAAGAGAGATTAGTGCTCCTCCTGGGAAAACATACATTAAGAGTCTTCTTGATGATGGAGGGAAGGACATTCATTTTTTTCTACCAGTTTTAAGACTGATGTAAAGATATGTGCCTTCTTAACAAATTTGTATTTACACGTCTTATTTCCTCAACTAAATATATAAATTCCTTTTAAGAGAATTAACTGTTGTATTTTCTCTTATTTCCTTTTTCCCCTGGTTGAGAGCAAAACTTTAAACACACAATAAGTGTTAAATACTTATTTAAATATATGAGGATTTAAAAAGATGTAATTCTGGATGGGGTGCTGAAAGGACAGCTCCTTTGACAGCATTTCACAAAAGACAGAAAACCTCAGCAGAGAAGGTAAAGCAACAACTTCTCTCTGGGTACAACATAAATCTCAGATTCTTGCTATTCAGTTACAAAAATATTCATGACTAGCCTTCAAGAAAAGTACAGAATACAGTTTTCAAAAAATAGAAGACAGGGGGCGGGTGAGGAGGGTGCTTTCTTTTTCCTTCCCTGCTAAGTCCCGCTGGGTAGGATCTAGACCTTCAGTTACAGCGGAGAAGATGTGGGGCTCTCCCTCCCTCCCTCCTCCAGTCAGGACCTCATTTTAAGTAAGAATCAGGTCAAGTCGTATTCACACATTTTTCATTTTTCTGTGGAAGAATATTTCCAGGAATATCAGGAACAAACCTTATTCTTTTGCTTTTTGAAGATGGTATTGCCTCTCAGTTGTGTCTTGGCACATTCTGGTGGGTTTTGAGCAAATGAATGGTACATATCTCACTCATTTAACAATCTTAAGAAAAATCTGAAAATCTATTATTTCCAGGGGACAAAACAAAAAAATGTAAATTAGTAATAACCTTCATTCATACCCTGCTTGAAAACAATTTTCCTATAAGAGAAACCTTCTGTAATACCTAGGATTATGTCTCTCCCTAGATGATAAATTGAAACTGCACATTTTCCAACTTTTACTGAAATAAAGGTGAGCAAATTCCTGTGTTACTTATATTTGTCAGCTTTATGGAGAGCTAAACTCTAATACCTACATTAGAGGGAGATAAAAGCACTCTATGAATGTTGGATGGGTAACAATATCACTATTATACTTTTCCTTGGTTATAAGATTTAGCAATTTCCTCCTCCTCTGTTTTGAACAAAGTTTGAAACAAAATTTTCACCTTGAGGCAATATCTATAACTAAAAGCAAGTATTACTACTTGACTAAGTGTCTTCTATTCAAGATCTAATATCACAATGCATGCCCCAAAGGGGAAGTTCAAAGGGTAATGGGGAAAAGTTATCAGTGGCTCAATTTCACTCTAAGTATTTAGGGCCAAGATTATCAATCAGGGCCTCCCCGGTGGCGCAGCGGTTGAGCGCTGGGTTGCGAAGCTGCCCGCAGCCTCTGCAGCGCCGGTTCGATCCCCGGCTGCTCCCCGGCCACCACAGGAGGGTCCCACATGGCGCGCAGACCTCTCCTGCCGCCCGCTGCTCCCCTCAGCAGTGTACTTCGGTCCTTCTGCCTGCTCTGCTCCCCGCTCTGGCTCTGGTGAATTCTCTCACCCTCCCGCGCTTCTGACTGTACCCAGTGCATGTATAAACAAAACAAACAAACAAATAAATAAATAAATAAAGCATGCCTCTATTAAAAAAAAATTAAAAAAAAAAGATTATCAATTATCTTTATTTTCTAACAGAGTGACATAGTGACAAAACTGAGTTGACTGGCAAAACATATACATCAGAGGAACACCTGTTAGTAACTTCCTGTGTACATCTCTACCAAAGCACTATATTGAAATTACATATTTACATCATCAGGCATCCACATGTGTAAATTATAAGCACCTCCTTGTCCTTTTTTTTTAATCTCCTGGTATTTAACCCTGTAGCTCTCTTTCACAAGACCCTCTGACTTTTGAATGGAAATAAACTTTTCTGAATCATCAAGAATTCCAATTAAGATTGAAACTCCTGGGCCTCCCCTGGTGGCGCAGCAGTTGAGTGCTGGGCTGCGAAACTGCCTGCAGCCTCTGCAGTGCCGGTTTGATCCCGGGCCACCGGCGAGGGTGCCACATGGCACGATAGACCTCTCCTGTCTCGCCTGCTGCTCCCCTCAGCAGTGTACTTCATCAGTGTGCCTGTTCTGTTCCCCGCTCTGGCTCTGGTGAATTCTCTTACCCTCCTGTTCTTCTGACTGTACCCAGTGCTTATATAAAAAAAAAATTGAACCTCCTGGTGAGGTTTAAAAACAAACAAAACAACCTACCGGGACCAGGATCTTTCAGTTTTCTTCAAGTCAATTATTTACGTAAGCACAAGGTACTTCCTAATTTTCTCACTGAATTGTAGCAATCTACAGTTGGGTAGCAATCTAGCTGTAGCAATCTACAGTTGGGTAACTTTTGTTAAGATATAGTTAAATTCTGGGTACCTAGCAGAAGGAGCTTCTAATGTAGCACACTGTTGATGCCTCACTTCCTGTGGATTGGTTCTTCAGAGTCTAAGTCATATTCATCCCCATAGCTCTCACAGCCAGGGACACACTATGTTAAAGAGACTGAGTTCCCATTCATGAGTCTCACAAGGCTCTTCCACTTTGACATTAGCTGTTCCTGAAAACAATTCACAAAACTTCTCCCACAGAGAACCTTGAATTCTGACTTAAGCTTGTAACTGCACTGTGCTTTCTAACATGCCAGATCATTCTTCCAATATTTCTTGCAATTGGTGATGAAGTTCATCTACAACTATTTCAGATACTATGCTAGAAACCTCAGCCACCTTCTTTCCGATACTAGTGCCAAAAAAAGTAATATCTAGAAACAGCTCAAAATAATTGGCCGCCTCCAGGCATTATGAAGGTCAAAATGTAGAAACAGGAAGTTTAAAACTGATGAGAGAAAGAGAAACAAAGAGAACTGAAACTCTGAACATTCACTTGACAGTCAAAACACCAATAAAAAATAAAGAAGGGCAGAAAAATAGAAGTTAGATTTGACATTGATAGTATTTAAAAGAACATCTTAAGCTAAAGTAACACAATCGTTAAAGTGTTACAAATGAAATTTTAAAATCAAAATTTTTAAAAATCAACTAAGATGTAAAGTCTACCAAACATGGAATAAACAATAATATGTATAATGACATTTTTTTAACCAGAAAGAAACATGGGGACCCCCAAATACAAATAGTGTAAATTGTAGAGAGATATTTACATCTTTCTTCTAAAACCACCTAGAATAACTGATTAGGGATTCTAATAGCAATTTAACTCCTTTGAAAAAAATAAAGGAAATTGCATTATGGGTGTGGAACAGGGGGCTCCTGGGAAAACAGTGAAAACTAGGACACTGGTAGAAATGCCCTGGGAGGGGACCCCTGGGCATGGTCCCCCTGAGATTTGGCAAATACCAAACCTAAGCAAGGCTCTAGGGTGAGAAGAAGGGAGAAAATATATTTTTTAGCAGCCTGGATGTCAAGGGGCTGGAACTTAGCCATGTACTTTGTGGCCCTGATCTCTCATAGGGGCATGACATACTTTTCCTTCTCTGATCATTTCTCCATCCATGGCCTGTCCCCTTCCTGCCCCTCTCCTCTACACACACACACACACACACACACACACACACACACACACACACACCCTTCTTATCCACTCTTCGGTGAGGCTCCAAAAGGTACAACTTCTGAAATACAAAACTGGGATCCAAGAAATCGACACTGACATTTCAAAGACACGTCAGCCCTAGTTCACACAGGCTCCAGGCACCGTGAGCCAACCCCGTCCTGCGGGAGACATCCCCATCTCCTTCAAAGCAAATGCCTTTGAGGGGTGGGGACAGGCAAGAGAAGAGGCCGGCAAGGTGCCTGATTTGGGGACTAAGGTTAAGACAGACACGGCCAGCTTGCTAGATAGCTTTCCAGGGTGGAGGCTGGGGGCTTGGGGAGGCGCGTAGGGCAATGGCGAGAATCTCATCTGGGGCTTCAGGATGTGCAAGCCAGGAGCAGTGTCTGAGGTGGTCAGATGAAGGTTAAGAAGCCCAAGCGCCCGAGGTTCCAGGCAAGGCCTGGGGTGTCTGCTCTCCATCGCGCCACGCAAAGCCCAGCCCGCGCGAGCGCGCGCGCACACCCACCCCCAGATCAATCACACCCACCCCAGGTCAGTCACACCCACGCCCACCTTAACCCTGGAGAAGGGCTCGCTCCCTCTGCGCCCCCCGCCCCAGGCCTCCACCAGCGCCCCCCCCACTCCCCGCCCCCCGGCCCGCCGCGGCCAGGCTGGGGGCCCCGCCTTCGCCTTACACTGAATGGGCGGGTAGCAACTGGGGTCCTCGCTGCCGGGCGGGCAGCGGCTGGAGAAGGCGCTGCGCGGGGTCACGTAGTTGCTGGGGAAGATGCCCACCCGCTGGTTCAGCTGCCCGGTCCACCAGCCCTCGTCGCCGGACACCTGCGAGTCCTTGGACAGCACCTCCACCACGTCGCCCAGCCGCAGGGTCAGCTCGTCCTCGCCCGCCGCCTCGTACTCGAACACGGCCGTCCAGTAGGGCAGCGGCGCGCCGGGGCCCCGCTCCCCGGGGAGCCCCCGGCCCCTCCTCCTCCTCTTCTTCCTCCTCCTCGGCCCCGGCCCCCGCTCCGTCCTCCCCCGGCGGGGTGGCAGCGGCGGCGCTCGCCAGGCAGCCGAGAAGCGCTCTGGAGGGCTCCATGGAGCGGCCGATCCATAGGGTGCGGGGCTGCCGCCGCCCGCAGGAGCCGCCGCCGCCTATTGTTCATGCGGCTCTGCAGAGCTGGGGGGACCCCCTCCCCCGACGGCGGCCGCAGGTAGGGCCCGGGCTGGCGGGGCGGAGAGAGCCGGCTGCCGGGGCTGGGGCTGGGGCTGGGGCTGGCGCGGCCACAAGTGCGCGCGGCGCGAGCGCTCACCGCAGCCTGGGGGCGCGCGGGCCGGAGCCCCCGCCTTCGCGCTCGCCCCCCCGGGGGCGGCCTGGCCACCTCCGCCGCCGGTACCTGCCCGCTCTGGGGGTGCCCGCCGCCGCCCGCGGGCCGCCGCTTCCCTCTCCGCGCCGCGCCCCGCCCCCAGCACCGCCCGCACGCCCGGGGCCACCTGACGCGCGGGGCTGGCTCCGCCCCAGCCCTGCGGACCCGGGGCGGCGCCTCCCGCTCCCGGCCCGCCCCCGCGCCCGCCCCCGCGCCCGCCCGCCTTCCCATTGGCCCCGCCGGCCCGCTCGCGGGGGCCTCCCGGCGCGCTCGGGGCTGCGGGGTCACACACCGGGCCCACCCCCACGCTCCCGCCCCCCCTTTGCAGGCTGGCTCATTCTCAAACCCCAGGTCGACCCTTTTCTTCTCTCCCATTGGCCAAACGCAGCTCCAGCCATTGGCTCGAGGTACCTGTCCGTTTCCTGGGAGAGTTCAACACCTCCCGGCAGGAGCAGGCTGCGGCCTCATTGGGTGATAAGGAGGGATGGGTGGATTCTAAAAGGTAAAGCTGAGCAATCATGCCCACTGGAAAGGCTGGTGGAGACAGCTCCCTTTGTTTGGATAGTCGGGGCTCCGTTGGACGGTGCCTGTGTACTTGATCCTGAAGTGAGCTTTGCAGAGCAGAGGGGCGAGCTGAGTTGCGCCCCTCGCCCCCGCCCGTCCCAAGAGAGGTCTCTTTCTGCTCCTGATGCTTCGTGAACTGGATTCTCTCTTGCTTCTGCTTCTGCTGCGCTCCAACTTAGTGGATCCGCTTCCGCTCCCAACCACTAACTTGCAAGCTCCTACCACCACCTCTGTCACCTTGCCTCTATTTTATAAGGCCTGTAAGCCCATTGGATCGTTCTTTAGGAGAACTTTAAAATTGCCATTCTCGCCTTTATGAAGACCAAAATTGGCTCGCCCTTTCATGGGCTCCTGGAAGAAGAGAGCCCAGCCAATACCGTGGTATTTTAGAATTCAGAGAGATTAGAGACCGCCTTGCTGGGGCTTCCAGTTGAAGCTGTTTGAAAAGCTGCGGGTGAAAGGGGCTTGGTGTTGCAGGAAAGAGTCTGTTTTTCTACAATCCTGGGTTTCCTGGCCTGAAGGAATTGCAACTCGGATCTGATGAGCGCTATAGAAATGGGATTAAGAACCAAAGCAGAATGTACATACAAGATGGTGTGCAGTTGTGAGCCAGGGCTGACCTTTTACTGCAAGCTTGTGTTAGCCTTCATTTTTCAACATGAAGAATGAATGAGAGAAGGGGCCCCTAATATTTCTTCTGTGATTTAAGCCCATCAAAGCAATCCTTGACTTCCAAGGAGAAGCCTCTGACATTTCTAAAGGTCTTTCTGCCCCCATCAGCTGCATGGTCTTGGGCAAGATGAGAGCCCTGGTCATCTTTCCAAATTGCCCCCACTGTCTTCAGTTTGTCTAACAATTAACCCCAAACTAAAATTACTGTCAACTGCTTATCCTTCAAATGAGGGGGGTGAACTGGGACATCTCCTAGGTTCTTGGAGGCCCAATATTCAGTACTGGAATCTCTCCTTTGCATCTGAACATGGTCACACTGAATATCTAGATAGCCGGCACATTTAGAGTCTCCAAGAAAGTTGAACATGTTTTGGAGTGTCCAAAGTAGGTCCTGAGAAAGGATTTCTGAGTAAATGCCCATTGTACGTAGAAATGGAAACAGTGTGGATGAGTCTGAGTAAATTCCCTGGGTTTTGTTTAAGACAAATCTATTTCACCCTCAAACAGAAGAGAGCAGGACAGTAGAGGTAGAGGTACTCAGTGTTCTAATAAAAGACCTTAAGAAAGAAGATTTTTTAAAAAAGATTTATTTTATTTATACAAGAACTGGGGTACGGGCCAGACGTGCGGGAGGGTGAGAGGGTTCACCAGAGACAGAGCAGGGAACAGAACAGGCAGACTGATGAAATACACTGCTAAGGGGAGCAGCGGGCACGACAGGAGAGGTCTGCTTGCCATGTGGGTTGCTCCAAGGCCGGCGGGGATCTAATCAGCACTGCAGAGGCTGCGGACAGCTTTACAGCGCTGCACTCAACCTCCTGCACCACCAGCAAGACCCAAAAAGATTTTTTTGATAAAATGTTAATGGGAGGATGGGGGAGAGGAAGAATTTTACAAGTGGTGTTAACATACAGAAAAATAAAAACACTAGAAAGACATAGAGAAAAATGTCAGTGATGGATTGGGAATAATTAGGGAAATTTACTCTTATCTTGTCGATAAAATTTGTGTGTTCTAAAATACAGGTTGGTGGAAGGGGAAAAACCAGAGGAAGGTTTGGTACTTCTCAGCAGGAAAAGTCTCACTCCCCAAGTAATTTAGATCTTTAATCCTATAGCTTAGTGTTTAGGAGATCATGAGGAGTCATCCTGCAAACATTTCAAGAAGTCATTCAGTAATTATTTGTTGAATAGATAAGTGCTAGGAATTCAAAGGAGGGACGCTCCTTCAGGCTAAGGTTGTGTATCAGGGTTTCCAGAAGGAAGCAGAACCAGAGTTGGTTGTGGCAGGGGACAGGGTGGAGCAGGGGAGCACCTGTGTTCTGGAAAGAAGGGGGGTGTGGGTGTGGCCACAGAGATGGAGAACTGAGTATTTTCAGCTGAATGGAATAAGACAATGAGAAAGAAGTGGGGGTGGAGTAGGAGGGAGAGGTTAAGACTAGACTGTGGAGAGCCCTGTAATTCCTGGATTCACAGTCATCATTATTTAATTGATTATTTGTTATTACTTCATGTCCCCTTTGCGTACCATCAGGGCAGAGACCTGTCTGTCTGGTTCACAATTCTGCTGGCACCTAGAGTGTACATGGCACAGCACTGGCTCAAGGGAGATATTTGGGCCTGAATGGCTAACCTGCATACCAGAATAAAACATCAGGGTTTTGTTGAACAGATAAAAGGTTATCCCTGAATTAGGCCTCCCTGGTGGCTAAGGGGCTAAGTCTAACCACTACCACCTGAGTTCGATCCCCGCCCAGGGAGCTAACCCAGGAAATCTCTCCTGTCTTGCCCGCTGCTCTCCTCAGCAGTGTATTTCAGTAAATCCACCTGTTCTGCTCCCCATTCAGGCTCTGGTGAATCCTCTCACCCTCCGCATCTCTGGCCTACACCCCAGTTCTTCTGCACACACACAAAAAATAATTACTACAGAAGGCTTGTGAGCAGTACAGTGAGATGATATATGTTCCCTCCCTGAGGACTAGCATATGTAGGGGCAGAGGGAAAATCTCCCTCTAGTCCCTTGGATCCTTCTCAGAATGGTGGAGCAATCGAGTGAACATCAGACAGATTAGTATAAGAATAATAGAGTAATTTCAGGTTTTCAGGCCTAGTCTCCCAGCCAGGAATGGATCCCAGGCTGCAGTGGCAGCACTGAGTCCCGGCCACTAGACCACCACAGGTTGGTGTCTTCACAGCAGAAACTTTGCAGACACTCAGGCAAGCAAGAAGAAGAGGCAGAGTTGTTTAATGAAAGAAAAAGTTTATCAAGGAGTGAGGGAACAGAAATAAAGTGGGACTCCTAGGCCGGTGGACCCCTCAGTGAATACGCACTTTCCTTCCCCAATTATTCTAAAACTCCACCAGTCTCTTTGTGATTGGTTAGTTCTTGGTGGTCTCACTCACTGTCTTAATGCTCAGAACTAATTCTCTGTGTCCAGCCCTTATCTTAGCAGATTTGTCTTTATTGCCCTAGTCAAGGAACATCCACTGTCCCTGGTCTTAGGGTGTTTGATTAACCCCCTTTGGAAGTTGTTGTCCTCTTCTCTGGAGCTTCCCTTACTCCTTTAGTTTCCCTGATCTAAGAAGCCTCTTTAACTCTTCCCGAGTCCCTGCCTGCACTGTCCCTGATTGCCTAAGTCAGGCAGTCTTGAACCTAACTTGCCCTAGGGCTCAAGAATCTACAAGGATGTAAGTTCCAAAGTAAATGGGGTATAATGGGTGTTTTTACCCTGGGCTCAGGAATGTGACAGGGGCCTAAGGAGACAGGAGGGGGAGACAGGAGGGGGACTCACATGGCAAGAGGACTGCATGCTCCCTAATGACTGTTTGCCCTGCTCTACGCAGAGTTTTCTCTGAAAGAAAGATCATTCCTGGAGATAACTCTAAATTTGATGAATGTCCTCAATTTTCATTATATAGGTACTTAAGGAAATGGTGAAAAGTTTCTCTTGAGCTTGCAGAACCTGGATTGACCTAAATTTGAAATAATCCACATGCCTAGGTGACACATCTAGGGAAGGCCTGTTCTAGACATCTTGGGGAGACTTGTCTGAACTCCCTGGGGCATCCTTCCTTCACATAGATGAGGGATGCATGAAGAGATGATGAGGGGGGACACTGGGGTGTGTATACCCTTTGATTAGTGGAGAGTAGAAATTGTGGAAATAAATTTGAATGTAACGGGCAGCAGTAACCAATCCCAGACTGAGAAGAGGAGAGGGTACAAACAGGGAGTGATGGGAAATAAATTCGACTAAGTGAAAGAAGGGCAGATTGCAAAAGGCATTAAAAACCAGGTGGAATGACCAATATCTCACCACTGTATGTTCTTGAGCAAGGCTGACAAATGTCACCCAAAAAGGAACATTTTCTCTACCACACTGAAGAGGGCAGCATAAGGTGCAAGGAGAAACAGTAGCCAGCAGTGAGGCAGCTTGGCCCTAGACTTAAGTCAGAAAATTGTGGTTTCTCCAGACTCTGTCCTTAAAAAAAAACAT